CATGTAAATGGGTTTTTAAAATAGACACAGTTTTAACGAAATGTTGTTGGGTAACCTTTCAACACGATATTGTTTGAAGTATTTCATAAAACCATATCTATATCACATCTATAATGTTTATCTAGAAATAGTACAATTTTTAGCCTAATAATGCATCAAATTGACGAAAGACATTTGAAATATATGTACATGTACATGTACCGTTACAAAAAGCTATTGCGATTTAATTCTCATAGTCAATATACTTTCATTGTATAAACTACTTGAATTTACCCGTTATTTTGTATTTTATACCTATAGTAACAATAAGTGTGCTCACATAATAAATTAAACAAACACTAAATATAGAGAGACATATAGTGATAATTAAATGGATCAATTACCGTAATAAATCTGTGGCATCATCTATGGTACGAGTTTATCATTACTTCCTTCTTTGCAAAAGGTGAAAAGTTTGTACTTTGTATATTGAGCACATCTTCATCGATTTCTAACAATCATTTTTCAACACGAACTACATTATGGTTGCATCCTTTGGCAAGAAACTTGCCTCAATAGCTCTCGTTTAATGAACTTCAATAAGTACTTCTTCAGAATTTGACGAAAACGTATATTATCAAATTTACCCTTATATACACTATTTACCAAAGAGATCCTCATACTGCACTCACTTTTTTCAATTTTGAATTGCGATTTTTTGGATCTTTATTCTAAAAAAGAAGGGATGCCTTAAGGATCGTGGCGTACCCCATCACACAATTCATTGGTTCAATGTAAACTTGGGTATTATTTCGTAAACAACAATCCTATATAAGATTCCATTTTACAGCTAATGACAGTCATCTGGATTGTCTCACTAAAACCAAAATTTGACAAGGACAGAACAGATTAACTATCCAAAAGTTTTTAATAAAATACACTGCAGCAACAAAAAAATCCGTATTGACTGCTTGTAGCAGTATTACACAGCAAACGAAAACGTGGCAGGCACGACTGGGTATTCTTAGTTTATAGTCATGTAAACAGCTAATGACCCATAAAAGGTAGAATCTTATGATAGTTCATGAAAATAAGCCTTAACGATATTACTAGGGAATGAGGGACTACGGACGAAAACTGTGTTGAAAATCTTGATTATCAGGTTCGGATGACACAATTCAATTTGTTGCAGAATCAGTAATCAGTGCTTAGCATAGAAATGAGGATATCTTACATATTCTTTATCACTGAGAAAGACGTTTTCGATACAAGACACCGAGATATTGTAAGTGGTATTAAAAAACACATAAAGCAAATCAAATATTTCCTGTAAAATTTCCCATCAAAGGGCTGAGAAAGGAATCTTCGAAAAAGTGAGTGAAGAAACATCCGGAGGGGCTGTAATAGACGGGGAAACTTTGGATTGTCGGGTTAAAAGTGGAATTTGGTTTACGTTAAACTATTAAAAAATGACATAAATGTCACCTGTTTTAAAAATCTGCAAATAAGACAATGAGCGTGCAGTGTGGAAATGTCATTCCAGGAATGACATCGGTGAAATTAACTATTTTTTCAGACATTTAAACGTGGATTGGGATTCAACGTTATTCAGTTCCTACCAACATTTGTGAAGCCTTGGCATGAGCGTCTCAGCGAATATGTCCATGTGTTACTATGTAAAAGCACCACACGACTCCGACCAACATGGTCTACTTCAATGAACACCTTTTGTCTTTGATGAACGTTTACATGGTTTCTTTTAGACACATAAATGTTTGACTAGAATGGGTTAAATTTTGAATATCTTGCATGAGACGAATATTGGTCCGAATAAATATCGGTATATTTAATGTTTGGCCGGCCCACGTTTAGTATTGATATTGCTAAATACAATTGACCTATGAATGGGTTTAAATGTACTACGTCCTCTTTGATCATTCTGATATATACTGTTTTTGATTGATTCAGATCAGAGTTCTCAGAAGCCCTGAATCATAAATAATTGAACGCTTTAACAACTAAGTAATACCTGGTATTGTGGTTCAGTGTTAAAGCGTCTATTTCCAATTTATCAGTCTACAGTCAGCGACACGTGAATCAATGGTTCTATTTTAAGTGAATACATAGGCGGGATATGCGATGAAGGCGACATCTACAGACCCTGAACGCGTGCACTGTCTTTGTCTCTAACAATTATGGTTATCCGTTTATCAGACGGATATTGTCGATTTATAAGCGCCTCGTACATCAGTATCGGTAATGGACCCTACTCGATGGCCAAAGTGAGCATGTAAATTGTAATGGACAGTACGGCTGAAAAACAGACAGAGAGCTTGACAACTGTAGTAAAGCACCTGGCTCACAACTAACAGTATGCAGTTTTTGATAAACAAAGGCTGGTGACAAACATTAAGTGATTCTCTTGAAATCAATAACCTCTCGCGATACGGAAATACAAAAGGATTCATATAGATACCGAGAAGATAACGTAAAAAAATCATGACATCCTCCTCTAAACATAATATAGCATTAAAAAATGAACTCCGATGTTATATGCAGCATCCAGTACTTCATATAGCACCTGTCTCGAAACAGATCGATACATGAATATCAATTGCCGTCTGTTTTGTCACCGGTTGATAGCTTAATTCCTCCAAAGATACTTTCCATAATGATTGATAGAATACCAATACAGTTGTGGAAGGCTATTGTGAACTTGTCATCTGGTAATGAATTTGGGACAAAAAATGTGAATAATTATTATTTCCAAACATTGATGTAGTCTTGTTTTTTCCAATTAAGGTTTTGTTGTTCCACGCCGAGACATTTATTGCAGAATTATCACTTGAAAATGAAACTATTTTTGAAGCAAATTATATTAGCATGACACACATCCATTTTCTATATTACGCGAAACCAGACAAAGATATCGTACGGACGGTAGGACGTAGAAAACAAACCGTTAATGATCAGAATAGGCATTCTTATAAAACAACTAGTTAGACGATTTATATAACGTTCCGATGACTGTACGCTGTAACAGATGAATACGGCAGTGACTTTCACTACAATATCTCACTGGCTATGAAGAATATCTATTCTATATACATTGCCAATCCAAAGAAACTGTTCCTGGAGAATTGTGAATGACTCTTAGACAATGGTTCTTAACATTCGTCTCCGATTCAAAAAGCTATAAAAAAAGAACGGTAACAAACATTTCATTCGCTTCCGCGTCAAGATTTTGAGAAACGAATCTATGATAAAACATGCTTGTCCCGAGGTTTTGCGTGGCCTGCACACCACATTTAGATTTATTCATACGATGACACGATTCCGAATTTAATGTTCTTCTAAAATTACCAGACATACGAAACTTACTAAATCTAACGAACTACAGTGCTAGTTCACCTTTTCATCCTATCAATTTTTTCCTTAGTCGCCTTCTAGGTTTCAAAATTTAGGCCCTTACCATCACGGATGAGTCGTAAAAGGACAACAAAAGCGTATGATGGAGTTAAATTCATTATTTAGCTATATTGTATGTACCCCGGGGAACTGTGTTAAAAGGTGTTACACTTAGATATAGCGAATGTTTCGGCATAAGTGACAGGATAGAAGAAAACGACCGGTTTGTTGTCGAAATCGTAATGTTGTCATCGAGGTTCAGTATTACCGCTAAGAGTACAGGCTGCACTGAAACCCCCATTTGTAACCGATAGAGATAACACATTAAGTTGTTAAATTTATGTTTTAACTGAACACTGACTATTGGCTGACAATAATTTCGTAAATAAACAGCACATGGAGAGAAACGAGACGTTCAGCTAGAGAGAGAGATGGTCTGGGAACTTTCATCTTCTGGACGATTTAAAACCTGAGATAAACAACAAGCGAGGACCAAACCTAATTCAGCACAGTTACCTGTATATGTGGCACCAATCGAATCCAGACAGTCCTTGCAATACATCTAGCACCAGACGGTTGGAGTACTCCCTTACCGACAATGTAGTTTACAACAAATACTTCCGCCCTTCTACTCTTGTAGTATTTAGAGACTGCTAAGTTTTATACAATTATTTTTGATAATGAAACTTTCCTCCGTGTTACGTTGCATTCTCCGAAAGGTCTAGGTAAACTCTAATTATTACCAGGAAATCGGTCCCTTTTCTACTTTTTAGTAAATAATAACATCAATATTCAGATACTTGTCAAAATCCTTTACGGTCATCTCTAGGACATTAAGTTATGTTACTTGGTCTCAAAATTAAATGGGCACAATTCACAGGAGGTCCAGAGGGCCTGTATCGCTAACTTAGATATTTCGGTCAATAATGCACAAAAAATTACGTTTATCTAAAAGGAACACATTTCCCCTGATGAGCCTCATCCCATAGATACAGCTTCTAATTCCCAAGAAGAGACAGAGATCATTTATTAATTTCAAGATAGATTTTAAAGAAACTGATAGATTTTCCCTATTGGGCCCCAAGGAGGCAGAGCCATACTGTTTATACAAAACTGATTTCCCTTCACCCAAGCATGCTTCAGGACCAGTTGTGGACAATATACTGCAATTCCTAAAGAACAAGATAAATTTTAAAGAAATTGATAGAGTTTCTCTATTTGGCCCCGCCCTTAGGCCAGGGGGCCACACCCACAAATTACACAAAACTGCTTCTGCTTTCCTCAAGGATGCTTCAGACAAAATTTGATTAAAATCCACTCAGTTGTTCCTTTGGGCCAGGTGAAAAACCAAGGGTAATCCTAAAATGAAATTTGACAAATATACAAAGTGCTTCTTATGAGTGGTGACAAAAAAAAATCTGCCAAAATCTGATTTTCAACAAGTCTCAAAATTAACCAGTCTAAAAGGAATGGGGACTTTGTGTTCAATATGAAGATCACCAACCTAATACTTGTTAAAGGATGGATAGACAACAGACCAAGGATAAGAATAATTTGAACAGCTCACTATCAGTTGATATTTGCGAAAAAAAAATAGAAGACAAATTGCTTTTCATTGTACTCGGTTTATTTTTAAGGCATATGTTCTTTGTGAAATATCCAAGGTTACACTACAAGTATAACATCAGAAACACCATAGCCTATAAAATTGCACACAAACACATCAGCAGCACGTTCCTCGTCTCCAATGAAAGGTTGATCACTGTGTTGGTTCTTCCATTAGTATTAAATGAACAAAAAAACACGGACACTAAACATATAACTAACATATAGAGTTCTTCACCGTGTCCTTGACAGTGAGGACTGTCATTTGATTGGTTTTAATTCGTTCTTTCTTTCTTGCCCTTCCAAGGTAAGTTAGTTGTAATGTGCTAAACCAAAAGAGTAACGGACAGCAAATCAGGCCACACTTCACGCTATGAATACAGATGCTATTATCATTTGCGTAATTCACAAAATACAATGTACATTAAAACATTTTAACATAAGACATATTCCACTGTTTTCAGCAAACACTTTTTTGTCAATGTAAATTAATCTATGCATTGTAGGTTGTTAGCATATAAAACATGTAATGTATAGGTGAGAGGGAATACCAATAGTTCTGAGCCTCACACAATTCCCTATATGATGGTAAAGTGCACTGCTCCTTACATTACCACACCTAACACACACACTAGTCATAGCTACTGATTTCATGGACAATCATATCTCTGGCTGCAATTCCTTACAACACTTTGTCTGAGAGACATATTCCCAGTGAGTTGCTAACTTGGCCAAAACTGAGTATAGAGTAGAGATAAATTATCTAGTCCTTGAGGGTCAATCAGCCAAACAGGATAAAGAGTGAGTGACTGTGGTTTATATGGGGTCTTCCCTTCTTTCTTCTATAACTATCAAATTGCTGGGTGAAAGAATTCCAGTATGACAGAGAGAGTTCAGAAAATATCCTCTGGTAAGGGGAGTCATCAACCAGTACTAGCTTGGAAAACATTGACACTGTGTACAAACTGGTGATGTGCTACTCTTATTGAGTCAGTAGGAGCAGCTGGTCCTTCATATAGATCCATATGTGACTTACTTCAGTATCAAAAATACATGTCCAAAGTATGTGCAAGATAGGTCTCAAGAGTGCTTTGGTTGACATAATCAAAATGATTTTCAATTTAGGACTGTAACTAGTGATGAAACCTGGTTTATCATCAAAATCTGGATAGTGAACAGGAATCGATGAAATGGAATGAAACAAATCTAAAGACCAAGAAGTTAAAAACCAACAGGTCCATCAAGAAGGTGATGGAAACAAATAAAATAGGGATTTATCTCCCCTACCTGACCAATGGAAACACAATTAATAGGAGTATAATGCTAACCTACTGAAGCAGTTGTACAAATCCAAGAAAAACACCACAAAAAATCCTTTGAAGAATTTTGCTTCACCAGGACAACCCATCAATTAACACTAAACAAGTAGCAATGGATACTGTGTGTGAGTGAGGTAATAAACTCCTCCCTACCTCACCCTGTTCTCCAGAACTAGCCCCAGCAACTTCTACCTCTTTCCTAGGCTACACAAAACACCTCAGGTCCAGAGATTTGAGGATTATAATGAGCTGTTGTGGAAAGCTGTTAGGAGATCAAGATGTGGTGTTCTACTGGTTGGATACCAATGACTGGTAAACTATATGGGACGAGTGTGAGGAGTGTGTGGAGTTGAATGAGGACTTTGTTCACTTATAAATCTAAATTTCTTCTTCTCTTTTGTGCGAGGCCCAAACCATTTTAGACATCTCTCGTACATATTGTCAACAAAGGCATGATTGAGGTTGAATAAAAAATAACCACTGCAAGACAGAATATCTCAGACTCTGGATGAGATTCTTTGATTGAATTAATTCCTTCCCTTCAGGCTTGCGCTCGACTTTCAGAATTTCATTTTGCAGGTTGAGGTTCATGTGAAGTGGTATCAAATTCTGTTAGTCTGTGACTACAAATTAACCTGTTAAGGGGGCCAGTTGGAACTTTCACTAGCAATAGTTTTTTTCAAAATATCTCACTTCAAGGATATTGGTATTTTAATATCTGAAAGATATTTTTGATTTCATTTTGAAAAAATGACTTGTAAAAAACAGACTTTTCACCAATTTACTTAAACTACACATAAAACATCCAATATTGCACAATCAACTTATTAGGTGTCATTAACAGAAAATGATTACAACTACTCACTTTAAATAAAGAAAACATGGCTGTATATAGATCTGGTATCACTTCATGGCATTCAAACTAATTTCCAAGCATGACATTACCATACTATTCCAATGCTGATGGTATACAGACTGGTTTGGACAGAGATAAAATTGGCTTGAAGGCAAAAATAATCATTTGCAGCAGTATAATTTTTGCTAGTCAATGTCCTTTCAAGGAAAAATCTGGAAACTCCGTAAATTTTGAAAACAACTGAAATTGTTATCTCTGTCATGGAGTTGACCAATATTTCACTATTCTATGGATAAAATGATCACCATACAACTTCATTACTCCTATACATGAAGATAATTGTCAGGTAGTCCAAATTAAGTTTTCCTACAGGTTTCTTAAGGATAAAATCCCCACACCAACCCATTCTTTTTAATTTCAAATCTGAAGAATATCTTGAGGAAGGCCAGTGTTCCCCTTGAAGTGTGTTTACTTAACTAGCTGTTAACTTTCTATACTATTCCAGTCTCCATTTCAGTGGTCAGCGCAGTTGTCTCTCATAGAAGTTGTGTCACGTGTTCGCTATCCGGGTCATCAAGAAAGAGTGTGCTAAACACGTCATTAGAAAAGAATGGGTGATATTTCACTGCCCTATCACAGTCTGGCATAAAGTTCACCTCACATAACACAGGGCGTATTTCCTTAACACCTGAAACAGAAACAAGACACATCTGATGCATAGAAAAGAAATGTTGGTTTTCTATAAATTGACATTCAGTACTGGTATGTCTCTTTTTGTCAATAATTTAATTGATTTTTTCAGCAATAACCTATGTATACATAATATTTGTAAACTTGTAATGTTTTAATAAAATGCTTCTGGTTTTCTTCACAAGAATCTTCTGACTTTGAATTATTAAGTTGTTTGTGGTGGTAACATATAATGAGATAAGGCAAGTCTATTGAGTATACATTCCTGGAGACAGAACGACTGAGCAGTTATAGGTACATGTGGACTCTTTGCAAATGTTAACAAATTATACTGAATGAATTTACTGTCTAATTCAAGTAAGAGTTACATTGATGATACAAGGTATCACACCTGTAAACACCATGATATATCAAGTTTTTTTTGTGATATTCTCCTATGTGTGTATAAACCTGGTAACACCATGATACTGTATCAATCTGGTAACACCATGATACTGTATAAATCTGGTAACACCATGATACTGTATAAATCTGGTAACACCATGATACTGTATAAATCTGGTAACACCATGATATTGTATAAACCTGGTAACACCATGATATTGTATAAATCTGGTAACACCATGATATTGTATAAATCTGGTAACACCATGATACTGTATAAATCTGGTAACACCATGATACTGTATAAACCTGGTAACACCATGATACTGTATAAATCTGGTAGCACCATGACACTGTATAAATCTGGTAACACCACAATACTGTATAAATCTTGTAACACAATGATACTGTATAAATCTGGTAACACCATGATACTGTATAAACCTGTTAACACCATGATACTGTATAAATCTGGTAACACCATGATACTGTATAAATCTGGTAACACCATGATACTGTATAAATCTGGTAACACCATGATACTGTATAAATCTGGTAACACCATGATATTGTATAAACCTGGTAACACCATGATACTGTATAAATCTGGTAACACCATGATACTGTATAAAGTTGGTAACACTATGATACTGTGTAAAGTTGGTAACACTATGATACTGTATAAATCTGGTAACACCATGATACTGTATAAATCTGGTAACACCATGAAATAACAAGCTGTGAGACCCCATGTTATTCTTTCTCACATGGTTTATATTGTGGTAACTATATTTATTAAAACATTTATCACATATTATCATTGAAATCAAACATAAACACAGGTAATATGAAAAAATAATAGACATTTTGCAAAATAACTTGTACAGTTTTTTGTTTTATATTGAATGCAGTTGTGTGTTATATCTAGACTATAAGCCAGGTTAGTCATTAAACTTGCTTTATTTTATTGCATCGAAGTGAGAAATATTTACCACTCTTGTTTGTGGACCATCTCAGAAGTAAGTCGATGGCATATAATGCCCGTGACTGGGGGCAAGGACCAAATCCTTGAGGTGGAGGTAGAGCAGTAGCTCCCTGGAAAATCTCTCGTGTCATCTGAAATATGCTCTCCTACAATCAATGTATGATGAGATAATAAGAAATTCACACCACATACTACAGCATGTCATACTTATATTTCAAACCAGAATCTCAGTATTCCTATGCCAAAAGCACTAAAGATTTGAACTAAAAAGTAAAATTATTACTTTCTCTAATTTGTCATGGAGCTAATTAATACCAATTCTAATTAAATTTTGTCTGATTATCACTTTATCTTCAACATAATGGTGAAGGCAAACATATAGTATTTCCTGCCCATATAGGATAAACAGCATTGTACAGGCAGGTATAAAACTTCAACTCAAATTTCACAAATTTCAAATGGTTATACAAATTATTTAAAGATTACCACACAGTGAGAAAATCATTATTTATGTATAGGCCAAAGGTCATTACTATAATACAAGTCTGTGAATGTTCAAAGTAATACAGAATTTAACAGCAAAGTCGGCGGTCCATAGCACAGATCATTTATGTATACCAACACATAAGAGAGGTCATTTATGTACAAACAAGTGGCAGAGTTCATTCATGTAAACAGATGGCAGATTTTTTCTGTATATGGACATTTAAAGAGTTTGTCTATATACAAGCAAAGGTCAGAAGCTATGTTTGTATACAAAGAAATGTCGAGGGTCATCCACGAATACGAACAAAGGTCAGAAGCTATGTTTTATAAAAACAAATGTCAGAAGCTATGTTTTATACAAAAAAATGGCAGGGATCTGTGTATACAATCATATGTCAGATGTCTGTCTGCAAACAAATGACAGCAGTTAGCTACAAACCTCGACTCCATCCCAGGGATAAGCTGGATACTGTCCCTCAAACATAGGGATAAATTCATTGTAGTGGATCTGTGACAAAATATAACAATATAACAATATCAACACAAAATAAACAAAACAAAGACAAAAACAAGTATTGCAGCAAAATTCCAGGACATTAAATCTGTACTGTGAAAGGCATGTATTAATTGCTTGCACAACTTTTCAAATATAGGTCCAAGGTCACGGTCAAAGTAAAAAAAAATTGTTCCATCTGAAAGGTCATAGGAGACACACATGCCAAATACAAAAGCCCTACCTCTTACAGTGCAAAAGCTATGAGCAAGATTAAAGTTTACAAACTGACAGACAAACAAACAAAACAGCACAAAAACAATTTACCCCCAATCTTTTGACCTTTTGAAATTTAGAGTATACATATATGTATATATTCATGTATATATATATATTCCAAAAAAAGATGAAATTAAAGAATACTCATGAACTAACAAAACTTTGAAATGTAACATCTGTGAAATTATTTCTCAATCATAAATGTTAATATTACTTCATGAAAGATACGTATGATGAAGTATTTAAAGAAACATTGTATTTAGTAACCAACTACTTTTAAAAAGTTTTCACTTACAAAAATCTTTTAAATATTAGATTACTATTTTTGTTTTGTGACAAATTACAATGTAAAAAACATCAAGTAAGTAAGTAAATATTATATATAGTTTACCTGTTTCAAGTTAATCCCACCTTCTACATAGTTCATAACCGTGTAATGTTTCTCATAATCATCAAAAGTGTCCAAGGAAAAAGGTCTACAAAGTAAAATATTTCATTTTAGTAATATAATCAGAAGTCATTAGGTATTTTGTTCTTTCTCTCCAATATATTCATAAAATGCTTAATTTCCTTTGCAAACCATACTTACATATATCTGCTTTATCTAAGAACACTTGAGAAGTTGTAACAAGAAATGCTAATTGTATAATTCAACATAAAGTATGAATTTAATTTTCATCCTGTACCAGTCTACAGCGATGAGAGGCTAATGAGCATACCATGAGAATACAATCATGGTCGGCACATGACCCAATACCTCTTCATATATTATATTTGAAGTTAAGTCAATCCTGACTATTTGTATGAAATGTGATGCTGTTTAATTACTTATCAAATATCCATGGGTTGATATTTAAATATCTCACCATCTTGATTTGATGCAAAAATTAATCTGTAACTTAAACCAAATGATAAATATCATTTCATTTTGTTTTTTCTGTTTGTAAGTAAAGCACACTTACCTTTATTTTTTCTGTATTTCTGATACATTTAATGTAAACTCATTTATATCAACCAAGGAAATGAATTTAGAATAAGAGCGTATCTCCAATTTTTTGCTTTTGAAGTGACCAAGGATAACATTACGACTGACTATGAGTTGTGAATGGCACCTATACAGATGTCAGTGGTATCTCTATATCTAAGGTCAGTCATAACTTTACAACTTACTTGTTTGCAAATCTCAGCCAGAAGACCCTATATACAAACAGCTTGAGCGGTTTGACACTACTAAGCATCACAACATAACGGACGTCAAACTTCACGTTGCCAACCTCCTCACGGAAAAACAGCACAGGATCCTCTACATACTTACAGGCTACCTGTTGATACAAGAGTAATGACTGTGACATAGACTCTGTAGTAGTCGGGTACAGTTAATGGTTTGTTATCAAATATCAACATGGACTGGTCTTATCAGGGCACAAAATACTGTATTTAAAACAATAAATTAAAAGAGAGAGAAGAAAAGCAACTCCTGAAGACAGGTCTCCAAACAGTATATATAACTAATTTGTGCAGCTGGTTACCAACATGTTTTGGCCTTAGGCAAGCCATCATGAGGGCACAGCTTACATGGTGTACATATAGTTAAAACAGAATAGTGAACTAAATAATTTTGGAGAACATATATGGTGTATATAATGCATGCAAATAAATAAATGAAAAGTCGACAATGGTCTTTCGTAGTAATGTTTCTAGATTGCATGTTTGTAATATTTCTGTGTAATTGTTGTCAGTCACCTTATGATAATCTTTACTATCTTACTAGTCATGCTCCATTATTAGAAGTGTTTCAGAACTGAAGCACTTTTCTCTTAAGTTGTATTACATCTAATTCTTCAACAAATGCTACATTTTAATGCATTCCTTTGTATGACGACATTCAATTTGTATGATGATATTCCAGATGTATCATGACATTTGATTGACCAAGGAAAATAATTTGTATAATCATGACATACTCTCGACAACTTTCTCATTTGCATATCTAGCTCTGATAATAATTGTTACTCATGCCAATGACTCTCATTGTGTCACATAAATTGATATCAGGAACAATATCTTGATCCTGATTTTAGATCTTACAGGCGTTGTTGATTCTCAACAAGATAATCCAGACTTCTAAAATCATATCAAAAACAAAGTACCGGTAAGTTATTTTGTTTTTGTCCAATATTTTAATCTATATGAATTAGAATAGACATTACCTATCTGAGTAATTTAATATACAGCAGTGTATCGTGATTATACTGTCACACATATCAGTTTTATTGTCCCTGCTGAAAGTTCCCAGTAGGACTAACCCCAAAATGTCAAAGTTCGGGCTCTTATGTATAAATCTTGTTTTTTTAGTGAAAAAGGAAAAACAATGTTCCTAATTATTTAAGTCTACGACTTGCCTTTGGACCAGAGTCTGGAAGGCATGTTAGCTTTAGTTCAGAGTATGTGATGAGACAGGTGTTTTGAAGTCTACGACTTACCATTGGACCAGAGTCTGGGAGGCATTTTAGCTTTAGTGCAGAGTATGTGATGAGACAGGTGTTTTGAAGTCTAAAACCTACCACTGGACCCGAGTCTGGAAGGCGTGTTAGTTTTAGTTCAGAGTATGTGATGAGACAGGTGTTTTGAAGTCTAAAACCTACCATTGGACCAGAGTCTGGAAGGCGTGTTAGTTTTAGTTCAGAGTATGTGATGAGACAGGTGTTTTGAAGTCTACGACTTACCATTGGACCAGAGTCTGGAAGGCATGTTAGCTTTAGTTCAGAGTATGTGATGAGACAGGTGTTTTGAAGTCTACGACTTACCTTTGGACCAGAGTCTGGAAGGCATGTTAGCTTTAGTTCAGAGTATGTGATGAGACAGGTGTTTTGAAGTCTACGACTTACCTTTGGACCAGAGTCTGGAAGGCGTGTTAGCTTTAGTGCAGAGTATGTGATGAGACAGGTGTTTTGAAGTCTACGACTTACCATTGGACCAGAGTCTGGGAGGCATTTTAGCTTTAGTGCAGAGTATGTGATGAGACAGGTGTTTTGAAGTCTACGACTTACCATTGGACCCGAGTCTGGAAGGCATGTTAGTTTTAGTTCAGAGTATGTGATGAGACAGGTGTTTTGAAGTCTAAAACCTACCACTGGACCCGAGTCTGGAAGGCGTGTTAGTTTTAGTTCAGAGTATGTGATGAGACAGGTGTTTTGAAGTCTATGACTTACCATTGGACTAGAGTCTGGAAGGCATGTTAGTTTTAGTTCAGAGTATGTGATGAGACAGGTGTTTTGAAGTCTACGACTTACCATTGGACCAGAGTCTGGAAGGCATTTTAACTTTAGTTCAGAGTATGTGATGAGACAGGTGTTTTGAAGTCTACGACTTACCTTTGGACCAAAGTCTGGGAGGCATTTTAGCTTTAGTGCAGAGTATGTGATGAGACAGGCGTTTTGAAGTCTACGACTTACCATTGGACCAGAGTCTGGGAGGCATTTTAGCTTTAGTGCAGAGTATGTGATGAGACAGGTGTTTTGAAGTCTACGACTTACCTTTGGACCAGAGTCTGGAAGGCATGTTAGCTTTAGTTCAGAGTATGTGATGAGACAGGTGTTTTGAAGTCTATGACCTACCACTGGACCTGGGTCTGGAAGGTGTGTTAGCTTTAGTTCAGAGGATGTGATGAGACAGGTGTTTTGAAGTCTATGACTTACCTTTGGACCAGAGTCTGGAAGGCGTGTTATGTGATGGAGACTGTTGGTGATGTGCATGTCTAGACCCCGGGCTAGATTCCATGGCTTAATGATCCAGTGATTGTCTAATCCTCTGTAACAAAGATTTACGTTCAACAGTGCAGACCATTGGGAGGAAAACAGGAGATCAAAGTGTGTTGACAATTACGGACTTATTGAAAATATACATCTTAATTCATATCCTTTTCAGTAACAAATAATGCATGATTTAATGCTAATAAATTTGCACATTGACAACATATTGAGGATGTTACATGATTGCACTATTCATAATGTATTCACCAGTATTGCTCAGTATTCTGATATGATATCTATATTGCTTAGTAGTCTGATATGATATCTATATTACTCAGTAGTCTGATACGACATCTATTGTAACACAATGACCAAACACAGTGTTTACTTGGGTTGACCGAAACGTTTATTTCATCGTATAGTGGTTTTCCATAGTTAGTACTTCGCGTTAATATCCATTACAAAAGATAGTTCCCAATCAACATACAGCATCATGTCGTGGCACCAAAACTAAATACCTGTGTAAGGCAGACAAAAACTAAACACCTGCCCGTCCATATCAAAGAGTTCCATACAAATGTTCACGGGCCAACTTGGCCAGAACCCGCTCCATCGCGGAGCAGGTCCCCTATGGGACTCTGCCCGTCTCCACGTCCGACTCCCAACTCTCTCTTGCTACTCGATCCCAGACTCGACTACTCTTCTGCTGGCTATTATCTTTGTATAAATAATACCCAAATACTTAATTTCAGCCTAGTCCCAATTGGACAACAATAACCCAGCCCCCGGAGCATCTAATGAAGAAGGCACCTGCGACTAAGAGTACCCGTTATCAACTTCCCATCTTTGATCTACCTTATACATTGTTTCTTATCTTGTTTACTTACAAATATGTTCGCCAGCGCGGGGCATACAAAAGAGAGCATCTATCTGTCATGATCAATCATACTGGCTATATTCTGCCACGGTGCTTCACCACTTGGGTACAAACCCCGCCCGTTATCAGGCGTGCATCACTATCTATCACTCACGGGATCTTTTCCTCGGTCCAGCATTAACTGACTTTTGACCTGATGTACTTTAAACTAAGATGCTGCTCTCTACGATACACACCATTCCAAAATTACCATTAAACCCATTTTTTACTCATTTTGTTACACTATATTACTCAGTAGTCTGATATGATATCTAATGTAGCTCAGTAGTCTGATATGATATCTAATGTAGCTCAGTAGTCTGATATGATATCTATATTGCTCAGCAGTCTGATATGATATCTATATTACTCAGTAGTCTGATATGATATCTATATTGCTCAGCAGTCTGATATGGTATCTATATTGCTCAGTAGTCTGATATGATATCTATATTACTCAGTAGTCTGATATGATATCTATATTACTCAGTAGTCTGATATGATATCTCTATTACTCAGTAGTCTGATATGATATCTATATTACTCAGTAGTCTATATGATATCTATATTACTCAGTAGTCTATATGATATATATATTGCTCAGTAGTCTGATATGATATCTATATTACTCAGTAGTCTGATATGATATCTATATTACTCAGCAGTCTGACATGATATCTATATTACTCAGTAGTCTGATATGATATCTATATTATTCAGCAGTCTGATATGATATCTATATTACTCAGTAGTCTGATATGATATCTATATTACTCAGTAGTCTATATGATATCTATATTACTCAGTATTCTATATGATATCTATATTACTCAGTAGTCTGATATGATATCTATATTGCTCAGTAGTCTGATATGATATCTATATTACTCAGTAGTCTATATGATATCTATATTACTCAGTAGTCTGATATGATATCTATATTACTCAGTAGTCTGATATGATATCTATATTACTCAGTAGTCTGATATGATATCTATATTACTCAGTAGTCTGATATGATATCTATATTGCTCAGTAGTCTGATAAGATATCTATATTGCTCAGTTGTCTAATATAATATCTATATTACTCAGTAGTCTGATATGATATCTATATTACTCAGTAGTCTGATATGATATCTATATTGCTCAGTTGTCTAATATAATATCTATATTACTCAGTAGTCTGATATGATATCTATATTGCTCAGTAGTCTGATAAGATATCTATATTGCTCAGTTGTCTGATATAATATCTATATAGCTCAGTAGTCTGATATGATATCTACAGCAGGAGTAGGATTTTAAAATTTGTTCTATTTCCCTATTGGACCCCACCCATCCCTTCTTGCCTTAGGGAACAGACCCATTATTATGAAAAAATGATTCTTCTGCACCAAACAATGCTTCTGGCCAAATTTGTGTAAAATACAATTGTTCCTACAAGAGAATTATAATTAGAATTTTCAAGAATCTGCCCTATTACCCCTGTTGGATCCTGCCCCTCCCACCTCCAGGTGATGAAAAATCTACCATTTATACATAATTGATTCCCTATCACAACATAATACTTCAGACTAAATTTGGGCAAAATCCAATCACTCCTACAGGAGGAGTACAATTTTAAAATTTCCGATTTTAAGCCCCACCCCTCAGGCCCCTTGGAGCAGAGACCCACCATTTTTACAAACTTTGTTTGACATTCCCTAGGGATGATTCTGACCAAATTTGGTCAAAATCCTATGGACCTGGTGGAATGTGAGTAAGTAATTCAGGGGATTATGTAAAGACTATATCACGTTAGTGACAAAACCATATTTGAATTTAGATTGGCTTCAATTGTCAAGTTCTGATGATGACTGGTTGTCTGCCTCAGCGCATTTGTTTGATGTACCATACAGTAACACATGTGGGAGGGGAAACAACTCTGTATTTCATGATGGCAAATAACAGTCATCTGTGACATATATACTGAGTTGATTTGACAATGATTTGTTTTTTTTTTAAATTCATTAGAAATTAAGAAAAAATCCCCTGATTAATTATCCTAGAAATGAGGGGAATTTTGATGAACAGGCTACTGTTAATAGGGATACAAATTCTAGTATATTCAACAACATCAATGTTATTGGATTTCTCACTCTTATCTGATATAAACATCTTAAAATCAATTTTCTTTCCATGACAAACAAAAACAAAAGGATCATAAATATGTTGCGATATAAAATACACATTTTCTGATTGATGTAACTGATAATGATATATTTTTGTCAGGCTTTGTCAGTACTGAAAAGATTGTATAAAATTTACCAGGTTCTGTACATAGCAGCATAAAGAAAAAACTTTCATAATGAAACGTAGGTGAACATCTTTATATGTAAGAGAGTGGAAGTAATAATCAGGCATTCTTGGAAAAATGATAATTTCCTACACATTGACAAGATATATATGACAACACATACATGGTAGCTACAATACAATGCTATAAACTCTAAAATTTGCAAGATATGAATAAGAGGTCAGTTGATCTCATATCTTACTTTTCCTCTCGGTGCTGGAAGTAGGAAGCAAACTTGTGCAGCTCTGTTTTGAGGTTGTATGTGACAGGCAGCCAATCAGGATTTCTCTCCAATGTGTCAGGATTCTCTACTCCTTTATTCATTCGTCGACATACTACGGCCAGCATATCTTTGACAGTCACAACAGTCTCACATGGAAACTGGTTTATCATCTTCCCTGGCGTCTCTTCACTCAACTTCCTACATAAACATGATTTTCACAAATTAAAGCCCATGGCCACTGGCCAGCTATAACACCAAAAGGTTCCCACTAAAATGCTGGAAGGAAGTCTGCTACAAGTATTTACAAGCATAAATATAATTATCTAATTTCATTTAAGTCTATCAAACTAGTCTTTGAATATTCTTTCTATGTACATGTAAGCACCACGTGGGTGGTGTGTGTATTTGTGTCTGGGTAGGGGGTCTTTTGGTCTTACGGTGGGGAGAAACTGGACTATCTTGGTAAAACCCAGTTTGGAAGGTGTCCCATTACCTTTTAACATCCATTCCATAAACTGAACCCCGGATGGCTCAGTGTGAAAGGTGAGTGTGTTATCACTGCACCACCAAACCATCCAATAAATCGGCATGATTAATAACACAACAAAGAATGGAATTGGTAGATAGAAAAAAAAAAAAAAAAAAAGCAAACATTTAAGATATCCCACAGGGATGTTACCATCAACCATTGTTTGATTTTTACTTGTTCTTTAAAGGTGAAGTCTTCTCTGGTTTAGCCCTTAATCATAGAAAATTTGAAAATCCTTCTCAGAAACAGTGATAACAAAACTTTTATTTTCAAAATCTTAGAAGGCTGGCTGTCAGCCAATTTGTTTCTCTAATCAATCCTAAAATTAAATGGGCACAAACCAAGGGGAACCTATATATGAAATTTGAGAAAGAAGATCCATCCTGTACTTCTCAAGGAAAAGCAATAAAAACTTTCATTGTCAAAATCCAAAGAGCCACCCGTCAGCCATTTTGTTTTTACAATCAGTCCCAAAATCAAAGTGACAAAACACTAGAACCAAAAGGAACCTTCACAAGAAATCTGAGAACGACCCATCCAGCAATTGTCAAGAAATAACAACGAAAACCAAACACAGGCATAGGGTGAGTGTATGTAGTCTTGCCTTGTCTGGATGGAAAGGGACCACTGTTTCAAAATGACAACTCAAAGCTTCTCTTCTACAGTGAGGGAGAGTGACTGTAATATAAATAGAATTTACCTTACTGATTATGCAAACTAGTAGCTTGTATTGTGCAGATATTTTGACTCTAAATAAGTAGTCTAAAAAAAAAACAAGGAAGAAATTATTTACTTGAAGTCTCTCCAGGACTGAAATGTCCATATGATATCTGCCTCTTCTGCAGTCTCAACAATATCAAATCGTTTGTCTGTCAAATGGTCACCTAGTGCATTGTATTCCACAAATATACGGACATTCCTGTCCTTTGGTAGACCAGGGAAAGGCTTCTCCAGGTTTGGGAGAGTTTCTTTTCTTGCATATTGCTAAAACATAACATTTTTGTAACGACAGATATTATTTTATCATACACCAAATCACCAACATTAAAACAACACCGAGTGTAGGAATCTTCATAGTATTGGTGTCTAGAAAGGTCAGCCATCTTGTCAAACCTTAACTTTTAACTGATTTTTTTATATCATTCATACAAATTAAACTTTGACGCTAATCATATAAATCATATCTGAATCACTAAGAAGAGTAAACAATTACGACAGCCATGGGATAAGCCGTTTGTCTTTGATTTTGGAATGTTGACTGGTTTTGCCCAAACTACGGCTTTTTCAGGTCGACAAATTGGTGAAATTTAACCCCTGAAGTACTAAAATTCTGGGCACATTTGTATTGTTCATCATTCAAGTCTTTGACTGAATTATTAATAATACAGTGTATTCATAGAAATTAAAACTAAAAATTGTTGATACTATCTCAATACTTGATATCATTCACACAAACTATAACAGACAACCAAAGTTAATTAATTGCTGACTTGGTGTGAACAATTACACATATCAACGTTCAGTATGATAATATAAAATAAACTATTTCATTTTACAACAAATTGCAAAACGAGTTATTAGTTATTTACTAATCACTCTTACTGGCCTGGATGTAAGCCTGCAAGGGGTTTTACTGCGGGAGGAAACTGAGTACTTTGAGAAAACCATGTGACCCCGAATGAACCCAAGATGGCTAGGTGAGTGGTGAGTGTGTTACATGGGTGACCTGACCACAAAAAATTCAGTTTAATATCCCCATCTAGCAATCAGATAATCAGCGCAAATTGAAAGATACTGAAATTTTCTTACTTCTAGGGCTGAACCTCTAGATAATCTAGATCAACCAAAACAAGATCTGAACATGACTTTCTCATAATACAACTACATGCCAAAATACAAATGAGAAAAACAACAGAAACTTATACCAGTAATTTCTTGCAATTTTCTAAGTTTGAGGGACATTGATAAAAATAAGATGACATGGGAAGGAGGTTAGGAGAAACATATATTTGACTTGTATCTTTTTATTATAAAAAACAAATGATCAAATTTTACTTCAATACCTTCACCAGTCAAAGAGTTAAGTGCATGAACTAAATCATGACAGAATGATGCAATAACAGCCCCTTCAAACGCTATACATCCCTGCCATTCCATGGAGTGAGCATGAAAATAAAAAAAAAACAAAATGATCATAATCTATTCTATATTCTATTTTGCTAGTGTCACGCACACCTAGTCATTTGTAAACATAGCAACTCACTAAAAAGTATTCCAAGTCTGGTTCTTCCTGTTCGTAACTGACAGTTTTCATGTCACATGGTTCCCAGGAATACAGTTTTGCTTTTTTTATGTCAGCATCTTCCTCCGCTTCAACATAATCTCTGGTCATCTCATCTGAAACAAAAGGTTTGTTTTAAGTTATATGTTTTGGTAAGTATTATCCCTGTGAAGCTAAGGACTGAATGGTGAAGATAAGGACTGAATGGTGAAGCTAAGGACTGAATGATGAAGCTAAGGACTGGATGGCGAAGCTAAGGACTGGATGGTGAAGCTAAGGACTGAATGGTGAACTAGCCTTAAAAAAAAGATGATCCATCAAAATGTTACTAAACATAGAATCTACGATGACTTAGATATACTGGAATTATATCTTATGTTCAGTAATTATAAAAACAAGATGAAATGATTTTTTTCAATTCTTTGACACAGCTGAATTTTGGAATTTGGAATTATAATCAAACTATGATGAAAAGAATATAGACTCAATGAACTTTTCAACATTTTACTACCATGAAAATCACTCTTTTTATAATTTACCAGTGATTCACTAATCCTATTGTCACACCTCCATCCTCTAACAGACATATAACACATTTTGATACCAGTGATTCACTAATCCTATTGTCATACCTCCATCCTCTAACAGACATATAACACATTTTAATACCAGTGATTCACTAATCCTATTGTCATACCTCCATCCTCTAACAGACATATAACACATTGTAATACCAGTGATTCACTAATCCTATTGTCATACCTCCATCCTCTAACAGACATATAACACATTTTAATACCAGTGATTCACTAATCCTATTGTCATACCTCCATCCTCTAACAGACATATAACACATTCTTATACCAGTGATTCACTAATCCTATTGTCATATCTCCATCCTCTAACAGACATATAACACATTCTTATACCAGTGATTCACTAATCCTATTGTCATATCTCCATCCTCTAACAGACATATAACACATTTTAATACCAGTATTCACATCCTATTGTCATACCTCCATCTGACATATAACACATTTTAATACCAGTGATTCACTAATCCTATTGTCATACCTCCATCCTCTGACAGTTATATTAACACATTTAAACATCCTATTGTCATATCTCCATCCTCTAACAGACATATAACACATTCTTATACCAGTGATTCACTAATCCTATTGTCATACCTTTATCCTCTAACAGACATATACACATTTGCTCATCTGAGATTACATTTTAATACCTGTGATTTACTGTCCTAGTGTCATACCGTCATCCTCTGACAGTCATATAACACATTTAAACACTTGAGATTTATTGTCATACCTCCATCCTCTAACAGTTATATTACACATTCCAACATCTGAGATTACATTTAAACACCTGAGATTTATTGTCATACCTCCATCTTCCACATCCTCTAACAACCACATCAATGTATAGGTCATCTTTGTTTCTATCCAGTAAAATGGAGCTGTCCGACAGGTTGGTGACTCTGAGTGCTGTATTCTCGCACCAAACTCATCCATGATGTACCAAACTGGCATGGAATCCTTATCACCCTATACAAAATATGTCACAATAACATTCAATATCCATTACTAAAAGGATGTTCCGTACCAGTGGCAAATTTTTGGATGTTTTTTTCACCCTTTAAAAACCTGTTATAGTGCCTTTTCTGGTATTGTCATTATCAGTATATATTTCCTGTATTCAAAGGAAACTCATGGAGTTTTTCCCGTTTGATTAATATAGAAACATATTTGTGTTAAAATACATGAAAAAATTATTTACAGCTGTATAGTTGTCATACTTCTTTGCAGTGAATTGTGGAGATGCAAATGTGTTGTGACAATGAAAGAAATTTCCATGAATGAAATACTATAAGTTAGTTTCTTTGTTGAATTAAAGGGTACAATTTTCTCATAAAACATAAGGAGATAGTTATGTCCAATTTTCAAAAAACATTATCTAATGGTATCCTAACTTTTCCTGAATATCCCTTTAATAAATAAGTTTAATGATGTTACAACAGTCATCTCTGCCCCTGTATTAAATACTACATAAAAAGTACCAAACTACATAAAATATTCACAATCTTAAAATTTAAATTTTGCTTTTCCAAATACGTGAAATTTATTGTCACTAATCATTTCAGTTGGCTAGAGTGATGTTCCGTTAGCTTATACTATAGAGCATTGAGTGGATAAATGGATAGATAATCAGTAGGTCAGGAGATCAACTTCTAGGTGATATATCCCTCCCGTATATACTTACAAAAAAAGTACTTCTGTTAAAATTAAGAAACAAGAATTCTCAGGAAAATGGAAAATCAATGGATAACAAAAATATGATAAAGTCAACATCTTATGTAATATTATTTGGGTTTAACCAGCAAATTTACTGAAGTTCCCAGTAATCATCTGATATTCAAGATATGTATGGTAGGTTTATAGTCAAGCTGTTAAAATAACGAAAACACATTCCATAGCTGAACTCACTCTTTCACAATGTCCGAAGCTGTATGTCTGGTTAAATCTGTAAGTTAATAAAAAGGTCATATGTATCAACAGAATTAAACCTTAATCAACAGAAACCTTAAGATATAAAACATTAATAATTATGTATGGAACATATTGATATGTAAATATGTCAAACATGGTCTATAAATGGATGTACATTATGTGTCCATTTATTCTAGAAATGACACTTTACCTGTATTTTATTTATGAAGAATATTCAATACTTAACACATATCTTCCTCTTCCTTATTTATATTTTCTTGAAAATAAAAATCTTGTGTCGTGTTGGCAATACCTACCTCCACATTTCTGTCAAGATGTCCTTCTCTATTTGTGAATTTGACCTTCCACTGACCTTCACTGCCATGAGGGAAGCCATTCTCTGCAGAAGACCTGGAATGGTTTGCAGGTGCTTTCTAGCCTCCTCTACTCTGTAGGACCAGGAATGGTCTATCAAAAATATACTGAAAAATATAGGTTTTATTCAGTGGTTTAATAAATTTGTGCATCATTTTTCCTTAAAGATTAAGAAAATTCCTATGATTTATAGGATAAATAAATACAAACTTTTGGAATTAGTTCTTGTATTTTGATTAATTCATCTTACATGTATATATGTACTTACCTATTTGGATCATCTTTCTGAACATCTTTCATTGCCTCTATCATCCATTTGTAATTAATTACTTCATCTTCTCCTGGCTCCTTATTCTCCTCTGTTTCCTCATCATCACTTTCCATTTCATAGCACAACATCTTGAAGGATTCTCCTGCATCATAGACCTAAGAAATTGATATTACTTCGATTAGAATAATACATTTATTTTGTATGCAAAGTTTACTGTTATACTCATGAATCTCTAAAGGTCATACATGCACACTGCCCTGTAGGTAAGGCATAAAAATTGAACCTGCTGCCCTTATGACAGGATTGTAAGAGGCCACTATTCTTTGGATCTACATATTTTCCATCTTCTCTAAACATTTTTATTATATTTTCTGATGTCTCTCAAGACACAGCTTCACTTTTAGTTCTGTACCGTAGACAAAACTTGAGTATTTTCAATGGTACTTTACTTTTTCCTTCAGTTTTTTTTTTCTTTTAATTTGTTTTATTTTTTTCAAAACTTTTGCAAGGTACACAAGAAACAGACTAAAAACAGCACACCAACATTCACCCATGTAATTCATCATCATCATCATCATCATCATCATCATCATCATCATCATCATCATCATCATCATCATCATCATCATCATCATCATCATCATCATCATATCATCATCATCATCATCATCATCATCATCTTTCAAATATTAATCAAAATCATCATGTGACCAATCAACCTTCTTTTTCTGAGTCAACATTATCATTATCAATGTCAGAAATTAATAATGAATAAACTTCATAGATAAAGATTTAATTCTTCATCATGATCATTGAATGCTATCATTCAATTTCAACACATATGTTTAACATTTTCAATCATGGACACACACAATTCACCACACACACACAAGAGAGTGAGGTTAATAGAGAGATGGTAAGGGCTAGATGGAGTGAAGATACAGAGGGATGGAGATAGACAGCGGGGAGAAAATGACTGGTTTACCCGTTGGGGGCCTTCTGCAGTATATCTCACACACACACACACACACAATAATTACACAATAATTACACACACCTCATATTGAAAGTGGGTGGGGTCCAACGCTAATATAACTATAAATGATATAAACAACTATGCAAATGTACAATGAGACAAAAATCTGCTTTTCATCATAATATATTTCATGATGGCTATCTAAATGGAAAGTAAAGGTAACTCTTTATTTTTGTACATCTATATGCAGTTTTCCAAATCAATTATGTTTTCTATGGTACTAGGTTCAACCACTAGTGACCAGGTGGCTTAATTTGTTTAGACATCTCATGGCACTTTTTGAGGTCTAGTCAAGGGTTCAAGGCTAGTAATTTCGTTGTGTATACACAAACACTGTATACCTTTCCTGCTACTTGAGATCAGAAGGTCCATATGTTAAACACCAGTGAATGCAGGGTGATTTTCATTACTTTTTCCTATTACAGATTTGGTGATGTGACATCTCAAAGGGTATACATAGAAGCTATGGGAGATTGAAATGGTTCCATGGAGATACTGAACCTGGGTTGTTATTGGGGTTTAAGAGTATGAAAAGGAGGGAGTAGTGTTAGAGGATAAAAGTACAGGTCATTTTACTAGCCTCAGCTAGAGGGAATTTCACTTTAGTTCAGCAGTAGGGTAGTGTATCTGAGAGATGAAGTATTGCTAATTCAAACCCTGCCAGGTGCAAGGTATTCTTAATTTCTCCTCTTATTACATATATATGTTGGTTATTTATAAAGGTGGGAAATTTTGTCAATGATTACTACTAATTATTTTATATTAAGTCAGACTTAAAAGCCAAATCTGTCTGTATAACCAGAATTGCTGGTGCTCCAGTACATGACTTTTGCTAAGATAAGTTTTCATTTTTCGAAGAATTTCGAATAATTCCTGATTAGCTTCCGAAATCGACGATTTTTTCATCATATTAAATATCAAGAAAACCGTTTACCCAACCTGTTCAACTGTCAGTAGATCTACAGACATAAGTTTAGTGGCAGCTAAAATTGTAGCAAATAATGAGACCAACACCATATGATACATATATAGGGGTTTGGATTTTACTTGAGTTGTCTACATTCCAGATGCAGGTGCCTGTGGACCAACTCACTTCTTCTTTTAGTTTGACGTAGAGAGACTTCCAATGTATCTGTGGAACACCTGATGACTGGAGCTGATTAAAGTGATTTTCTATAAACTTCTGAAACTTTTCAGTCATTTCTTCATCGTTCACTGAATTCTCTGACATGATCGATTCCTTGAACTGATTTTCAACCGTTCATGAGTGAAATTACGGCCACAACGTGGGATTCTCCCGGAAGTTTGATGAGCATGACTAGTTTTAGAATACATACAGGAAAAAAATATCCGCAACTTTGAAAATATTTATAAAATGAAGAATGGAAATTTTTGTGTGAATATTTATTTTGTTTAGAGTTTTGAACCATTTTTATGCCTTTACTTTAGTGTAAGTAATACTGATACACGATTTTATTTCATATTTATTTTGATTTGTTCGGATGCTCTCGGACTTTCTTATATTCTGATACGAGAAATTTGCTGTGTTTAGACGCGTTTCACGTTCCTGCGAAACGTCAACCTGTCAACATGCCTCTGGGTATAGACAGAAGTCACTTTTATGCTGACAAAATCAAACATTATGAAAAGGACATGCGGGTATTGAACATTATTTATTTATTTCGTGTGATGTAGCATCAAACGATATCTGTAGCTACAGTATTTTATGTATGGTAGCTATACAGTTGCCCTGTTATACAATGTTTACATATTTCAGTTCACGTGTATATACATATATGTATGTACCTTTTGAGAAACGAATGTCCGGAATATATTAATGCACTGGAAAGAAAAAAATTACAATACGATACTTTCCATCAGATGATATGTGACATATAGCAATTGGAATATAACTGAATACCATATTTTTTTTATGTATTTTCATTTTTTGATGGCACGCAATGTTTGCAGTTTAACACATAAAGTATGTTATCATTAGCTATTCTAAATATCACTTTTGTTATTTCGTTCAGCTAGGAATGAATACCATTGTTTACATCCATCTCAGCTAGGCCTCAATGCATCAAGTGCAACTTTCCTTTAAGAACTTATTTGTGGGAAAAACTCAGTTTAAATGGTCATGATATATAACACAAATGTTTGTGAATAGAAATGAGTTTTATCCATACTCAAGGCTACATTGTGGCAAAACTTATGAAAACAACTTCTGTTTGGCCAAAATACATTGAATAATGATATGCTACATATATATTTGGCTTGTAGCAGGGTTCCTGTGATGAATCTCAACAAATTGTATGAAAAGAAATGACCTTCATCCAATTCATTGACCCTATTTTTTTACAAAGAGTATAATCATAGCATGCATGATGTTTTATTCTTTGTTGATATAATAGTTTATGAAACAATGTTTTTCTATAAGACTATAAAGAAATATGATTTCAGACTAAGGACGAGCGAATATCAACACTGGAAACTGAAAATGCCATGCTTTATCTCAAGTTGGCTCAACTTAGAGGAACACTTCAGAAGAGTAGGGAGGACATGTCTGGCCTACAGAACCAGTTTGACTCGGAACAAAAGTTCAGGAAAACCATCGCTCAATCTGCAGCAAAATTGAAACAAGACCTTTATGTAAGTCTTTATATGTGGGTTAAAAGTTATTAATTATGCTGTAATAAGGTAAGATACAAAAGTTATAATATCATTTACAAGAATTCAGAGTATTAAGGTATGAGTCATGTCCATGTATCCTCTTTGGATATTGATCAATTGTAATGAAGCATGTCAGGGTTAAGCAACATGTAAGCTATTGGGTTGAATTCTTACTGGCGAACAATTTCTTAGCAATATGGTAATAATGGGTATGCACGACCAGATTCATATTTGACCAAACACCCAGAAATTTCATTAGTGTTTTTGTTTATGCTGTATACACCTTAAATTTAAATTAATAAATGAAAATCTGCAGTACATTTTTTTGTGTGATGCATATGTCATTGATTATAATACAAGCTTTCATATTATTCTTGGGATCAGTGTACAATTTATAATTGAATACTAATTGATCTGCATGTAGGTTTTATTTTTGTTCCTGCTGATGCTGACCCTTTTTGAAATTTTACAGCGACTTCGAGAAGACTTGTCTGATGTCCACAAGATTGCCATAAAGATGCCTCAGGATTTTAGTTTGCAGATTGATCATGCTTCATCAGTGATCCATCGTCACCGTCACATGTTTCAGTCACAAACTTCTAGTCTCTCTGTCCTCCAGGATAAGATTGAACAGATGAGTACAGCACTCCAAGATATCACAGATCGACATGCAAAGGAGAAAAAACGTCGGCAGGAACTTCATAATACACTCATGGTGTGACATACTTTCAGTTTTTACTTTCTGTACAAGGTTACTACTGGTAATACAAATTAAAACAAACAGTGATGAATTCTATAATCCTGTTATAGATGAAAAACATGGCATAGTATTCACTCCTCAAGATGGATAAATAAATATGATATGTAAATATCGAAAGTGTAAATGTGAAATTCTTTTTATGATTTGTGTTTATGACCTATCACTTGTAGTATATATATTTTATGATTTGTGTTTATGACCTATCACTTGTAGTATATATATTTTATGATTTGTGTTTATGACCTATCATAGTATATATTTTATGATTTGTGTTTATGACCTATCACTTGTAGTATATATTTTATGATTTGTGTTTATATATAGTATATATTTTATGATTTGTGTTTATGACCTATCACTTGCAGTATATATTTTTTATGATTTGTGTTTATGACCTATCACTTGTAGTATATATTTTTTTATGATTTGTGTTTATGACCTATCACTTGTAGTATATATTTTTTTATGATTTGTGTTTATGACCTATCACTTGTAGTATATATATATATTGTGTTTATGACCTATCACTTGTGTATATATATTTTATGATTTGTGTTTATGACCTATCACTTGTAGTATATATATTTTATGATTTGTGTTTATGACCTATCACTTGTAGTATATATATTTTATGATTTGTGTTTATGACCTATCACTTGTAGTATATATATTTTATGATTTGTGTTTATGACCTATCACTTGTAGTATATATTTTATGATTTGTGTTTATGACCTATCACTTGTAGTATATATATTTTATGATTTATTTTTACTAACTGTTACTTGTATTGTATAATCTTATGTTTTTAATTTCCTTTCTTTATTATTTTTGATTGATGTAACTTGCTAACCATAAGGCTAAGTTCAGTGTGCTAAATTAATGTATAATATAATGGTGTTATTTCTCTGGTGATTTTATAGGAATTGAGGGGAAATATACGAGTTCACTGTCGACTACGACCATTGATGGAGTTTGATACTGGGTTAGAGGACCCATCAACACTTGGCAGGTAAGCTATCTTATTCTTTACTCTATCAAACTTCAGATATCATCATGTAACTCATTATGATGTAGTTGATTTGAAAACAGTGTTTGGATATTTAATATGATATTATTACATGGATGTATAACTCTACAAAGGTATGGATGGCAGTATAATGAATTTAATTACACTATTATTATATGGGTGTTTGGCCCTACAAGGAAATAGTATTATCATAAAATACAAGTTTCATTGGTGTACGACCCTCCACCTCTTGGTCATGGGTTCAAAGCTTATGTGGTGTAGTTGCTGTAAGTTAGTGGTTTTCCTCCGGGAACTCTAGTTTTCCTCCACCAACTGAACGTGGCATGTCCTTAAATGACCCATGCTGTTTATAGGATGTAAAGCAACAATAAAGGAAACAAGGATATGGCAGTATCATAAATTTAATTATCATAAAGTACAATTTCATTTCGTGGGTGCACACAACAAAATGTATGATCCTACAAAGGTATGGAAGTATGATAAATTACATTATATACATAGGTACATCTGATTTGATAACCTTAGGAAGGTAATAAATTAATTTAGAGATGACTTTCTTGTTTTAGAGTTGGAACAAAGTCAGAGGTGGTTGTGCATTATGTGGATGATGTAAGTATAGGTGCAGTACATAAAAGTATTTAGGAGTAAGAGAATTTCTGGTATTGTAGCCCCCTTTTTTTTTTTTTTAAATGTTCTCTAAACACACCAATCAACTTAATTCCTTCTTTATTTTTGCCAGAATTGTATCTTTATATTTCTGTTCCAAAGAAATGTATTTTCTGTAACTGTTGACCAGATTTGTGACTTTTTATATGTATGTATAGTATTAGCTGGTGTATAATTGAGCATGAGAATTTTCTTTTAATAGGAAAATGCATGTGTTCGGACAGCAAAACATAACAAGGTGTTTGAATTTGAAAGGTAATGCACTGTATGTAACATAAATTTGTAAACTTAAAATCAGAACCATTGAATGTTTTTTGAAATTATCATTCTGAATTCAACACAGATCTGTTTTTTTAATACTATTACATCATTGATATAACTGAAGATCTGATGACATAATGTACAGCATTATTCTGGAGGTATAAATTATGATATGCAAAGTGCTACTGTACTCGTCGGTCAATATTCTTTTCCTCTTTTCTTCAGAGTGTATGATCCTAATGAGAGTCAGGATAATGTGTTTTATGAGGTACAACCTATGTTGACATCACTATTGGATGGGTAAGTATGCACATGTTTGGAAATTATGAAGCTATTGGATTTTTATACTCAGATGTTTGTTACATTCTAAGTGCGATGTTATTGTGGGGATGAGGTAAAATCAAAAGAGTAAATGAAACAGGATCCGAAGATATACTTAATAGATATACAAGCTGTACCTTAAATACTGATTATATAGCATTTTCAAGATTTTTACTGAGCTTTGTACATAACAATGTTGTACATTTATATTTAATTTGAGAGCTACAACCTTTGTGATTTAATAGATGTGTTTATTTTGTTGTTCAGTGGAGTACAAAACTGACAAAAGTTTGTCCCCAACTCTGCAGGTACAATCTGCATCATAGCTTATGGCCAGACAAGGAGTGTTAATACTCATATTAAAGATTTACTCCAATTTCTTACAGGTACAATATATGTATTATGGCTTATGGCCAGACAGGAAGTGGTAAGACTCATACCATGCTGGGAAGTCACAAGAATGAGGATTACAATGCCTCTCTGGAGCCTCACCCTGATGAGGGTGTCATCCCTCGTGCAGCTAGAGAACTTTTCAGGTATGGAATGCATGGAAGTGGAGGGACTTTGAGCAAGTCTTGATGGAGCAATCTCTAGTAAGAAAGGGGTGGGAATGTAATCGAGGCATGGTACACATTTTCTTAAAAAAAGAATGCATACGTCATGTTTATTATCAAGTGTAGATAAATCTAAAATTCAGACATTTGTACAAATTCACTATTAACAGGTACAATATTAAGCAGTACTGGGATGCATGATAATTTTGCATAAATTTATCTTTAACTCAAAACAATAATTAACTTCTATTATAGTGTGTAATGATTATTTGTTGATGGGGAAGTTTAATTGCAAAAGCTAGCCACAAGTGACAGTTTAAATTTTGAAGTTTAAAGTTTGTTACGACCAGTTCTGAACATCTATTTTAGGGATTATCTTCAAAGTTTATGATCTTGACAAGTATGGGTCTTTAGTATGTGCATGCAGCATTTGAGTGCCATTTGATGTTCAAGATGGCTGCCAGTGTGGCAATTTAAACTTGTGACATTAAAAGCTTATCATAATCATTTTAAGCTGTCATTGCTTAAGAATATCTGATATTAAAAGATCAATTTTACATACAACCAAGAGAGATCGTTGTTGGTAGAAACCAAGATCTCTTCAGATATTCTGTTTTTGTATTTATGATTCTGCCTAGTTTGAAAGATCTTTATAGCAATCTGTACTTTATAACTTTTTTGTCTTTGCAATTGTAACAGATTGATCTCGGAGAAGCCAGAGAGACATCATACAATAGAAGTATCTGTAGTGGAGATATATAACAACGATATCCGTGACCTGCTTGGCAGTGATGCTAATATGAAACATGATATCAGTACAGGGGTAGACAACTCTATCAACCTACCAACCATCTCATTCAAGTAGGTCATTCATTATATTCCGTTACCTATGTGATGTATGTAGATTATTAGTACCTTAACTGTACTACTGGAGACTACTATCTACTATCTGTCAGCCTGTCACTTTAGTTTATCAGTACTATTAACTGTACTACTGGAGGGTATTGTAGGTTAATCTGTCTGACAGCCTGTTACTTTCAGTCATAGTATCCAGGATGGATTTTATGTGACATCACCTTTCACCCTACTATTGCCAAATTTTAAAATGATAACTCTTTGAAGTGCCCAATGCTTAACTTACAGGTGCTCTGGTGCATCATGTTAGGAGTAAGGAACCTTTTCCATTGTCCTTTATTTGTCATCTTACCAAGTATACCTTTTTTAAAATATTGTGAGTTTGTGATGGCGGTTAGAAATACTATGATCTCATGTGTTCTTTCATTAATGTAAACCTGACAAAAAGAGGAATGTTGTTCCTGGTTCCCACTGTGATATGGTTGTCTATTCACAGGGAAGTGGATAATGTGTATGATGTTATGTGTCTGGTTCAGCGGGGTTTGAAGGCTAGACGCGAGTCTTCCACACTTGTCCATGACCATTCCAGTCGGTCTCATCTAGTGGTCACTTTGACCGTCAACTCCCAGGCTCCTAGCTTCTTCTCTAAACCTTCCACACAGGATGGTAAGTATGACAGTAATGTAAAAAATATGTCTTATTTCTGAAAGTGAAATATAAAGAACAAATTTTTTTATTTACTATTGAAATCATTACCTGCCAATATCTTAACAGTACTTTTTTCACTACCCTAATATTTTATTCAGAAGATTTATAGAACTAGATATAAAACTAACTATAGTGAATTAAAACTGATACATGAGGTTGAGTTGGTTGTGATAACAGTACAAGATCTATGGAGTATTGATGAAATATACTTTCTAGTTACTCATTTTAATACCAAACATTTACTTGAATTGAAGTGGTCACTAATCATGCTTAATATACCTTATTATACCTGGATAAGATATAACAGGTTAAGCCTATACAAGTCTTGTTTTGATTAAGATCACTAAAGTTATACTTCAGTGGTAAATAATAATGGCCCCTCCTCCAAATGAAGGGGACACTGTATTAGCTGCACTGGTTATTCTCATTGTCATTTATCTTAAGCAAACTTGTACAGGTCATTATCTTTTGTATGGTTGTATATTTAGGACAAAAATATTTCTTTATTTGAACTTTAGTGCTAGACATCACATTTTACTTACAACCTTGTTATTGTGTATATGAATCACTGCACTTCAATATAGCAATAGTGATAAATTCATAGACTACTTTAGCATATCAATAGAGTGAATTTACATAATGATGTGATAAATTTTTACTTGCCCTCATATTGTTGTACACTGAGTTATGATAAGTAAATAGAGAAAATATGTCGCGCATTCGAGAAGTTCAATCGAGCACACATGGTAACAAGTTGAGTACTTGAGAAAATATCTCAAAATATCATGTCGAGCATGTGAGATATAGAAAATGATATTGTTCACATGTCCTAAATGTACCACTGTACGTTTGAAACATCAGTCAGTTTAAATATATCTATACAGAACTTGAAATATAAGTCATCACCCACAACTGATTTGCAATGCGATCAAATTCAATTTATCTAAAGGTAAAAAGTCAAACATGTGCAGTTTTTTCGAGGTCAGAGGTCATGGTCAGTGCACTGAAATAAGATTACGGTGTTGTTCAAGTGCAGTTTTTCCAAGGTCAGAGAGAATAGTCCAGGTCAAATTTCCTATCTAGTTTTTAGAGTTTAATTGAAGACCAAGTAATATAGAAAGCATATTAAGATTATGGATCTTATGTCAAAGCCTGGTTGTTTATCTCTTTAATAGTAAATCAGTTTTATAATGATAAGGAAAATAATATGTTCTTGGTAGATAAGAGGAGACATGTTTTGTTCACTTAATCAATTTTCTAGTTGATATATAAAGAATTTGTAAATACAATTAACATAAGCACGGAGAAAAAATAATTTCTCACTTAGTTACACTCACTTGTATTCCATATATAGAGCACACTCCTTAGTTACACTCACTTGTATTCCATATATAGAGCACACTCCTTAGTTACTCTCACTTGTATTCCATATATAGAGAACACTCCTTAGTTACACTCACTTGTATTCCTTATATAGAGCACACTCCTTAGTTACACTCACTTGCATTCCATATATAGAGCACACTCCTTAGTTATACTCACTTGCGTTCCTTATATAGAGCACACTCCTTAGTTACACTCACTTGTATTCCATATATAGAGCACACTCCTTAGTTACACTCACTTGTATTCCATATATAGAGCACACTCCTTAGTTACACTCACTTGTATTCCATATATAGAGCACACTCCTTAGTCATACTCACTTTTATTCCTTATATAGAGCACACTCCTTAGTTACACTCACTTGTATTCCATATATAGAGCACACTCCTTAGTTACACTCACTTGTATTCCTTATATAGAGCACACTCCTTAGTTACACTCACTTGCATTCCATATATAGAGCACACTCCTTAGTTACACTCACTTGTATTCCATATATAGAGCACACTCCTTAGTCACACTCACTTGTATTCCTTATATAGAGCACACTCCTTAGTTACACTCACTTGTATTCCATATATAGAGCACACTCCTTAGTTACACTCACTTGTATTCCATATATAGAGCACACTCCTTAGTTACACTCACTTGTATTCCTTATATAGAGCACACTCCTTAGATACACTCACTTGTATTCCATATATAGACCACACTCCTTAGTTACACTCACTTGCATTCCATATATAGAGCACACTCACATTGATGTAACTGGTAGCCATTATTTATTCTCCAGTATATCAGAGGGAAAAATATATATAAGAAAAATATATGTGAAGAATAGTATGATAAATCACTCAATGAAGTTTTTTTTATACCTGTATTTTACAATTTTGATTTATAAGTTTAAAACAAAGCAGAGTTGTTTTATCATGGGAGAAAGGAAACCAGTTTTTATTATATATAATACAAAGTTAAGTCATGAAATGAAAACCAGATGTGATCATACATTTATAAACTAGGTCACAATGTGGATTAACATGATTTGATCATACATTTATAAACTAGGTCACAATATGGATTAACATGATGTGATCATACATTTATAAACTAGGTCACAATGTGGATTAACATGATTTGATCATACATTTATAAACTAGGGCACAATATGGATTAACATGATGTGATCATACATTTATAAACTAGGTCACAATATGGATTAACATGATGTAATCATACACTTATAAACTACATGTAGGTCACGAAGTGGATTAACATGATGTGATCATATATTTATCAACTAGGTTACTATGTAGATTAACATGATGTGATCATACATTTATAAACTAGGTCACAATGCGGATTAACATGATGTGATCATACACTTATAAACTAGGTTATATGTGGATTAACATGATGTGATCATACACTTATAAACTAGGTTACTATGTGGATTAACATGATGTGATCATACACTTATAAACTAGGTTACTATGTGGATTATGGTAAGTACAGTTTGTTAGCAAGTCATCTATACATTTAGCTATTACAGCTAGAGTAGGAAAGATATATTTTACATGTAATGTTCATGTTAATTAGAATGCTAGTTGCCTGTGTACTTATTGACCTTATGAAGCTTGACACCTTGTAATGTTAACAGTAATGTCATGTCACACAAGTGTGGAAGGTACAAATTCTGTCATATCATTGAAGTAAAATGGACTTACAGGTCTAAGGATGATTTATAAGTATGGTCCTTTAGGAGATAACTTTATGCCAACCTTATATATTTAGAATTTGATCTGCAGTCCATTTCACTGGATTTGGTTTCTCAGTTTCTGAGTTTATACTTGAAATATCAGCTTATTTTGTAGAAGTGTTACATTGTTTTACAACATGTCCCGAGATTTTGAGAACATTCACCTGTATTTGCTATAACCTATATATCTCTATTGTGATATTTAATGGATCGGTACTTGAATCCCTGTCAGGTCCATTGAGGTTCTCTATTGTGATATTTAATGGATCGGTACTTGAATCCCTGTCAGGTCCATTGAGGTTCTCTTTTGGTTTTATGCTTGTGTTGATGATATAACTATTTGAATATCAAATTTAGAAAAGTTACGTAATTAACATTTTACATTAGAATAAACTAGTTTTTTTTTAACTTTCAAGTGGAAAAGAATTAAGTAAAATTGCTTAAGAACATGTAGGTACTAAACTTAGATAATGGTACAGTGTATGATATTATGGTAAATTACTAAATAAAGCTTCAACAGAATATTACTTATTCAATGAACGCACATTAGTGTAATTTTCAATATGAGAATTTATATTGTTTAATTTTTAAAGCCAATTGATAACTTACAGGATATTCAAAGGATGAAATGGGAATTCCCAATGTTTTTCGGATTTGTGAGTAACTTGATCCCAGGAGACCTACCCAGATATACTGTGTCACACACTTTCCTGACTACAGTGTATATTTCTATCTGTTTTCAAAGTGCGACTGTGACTACCTCTCTGCTGATGTCTGTTACCTTTATGTTACAATATTAATACAGTACATCCACTTATTATTGTATCACTGTGAAGTGTGGATCACTTTTTGAAACACTGGTTTTGATGTATGTTATATGTAATTAATTTCTCTCGCTTTGAGGTAACCTCTGTGTACAATCACTTCAGTAGGAATATCACTGAAAAGTTTCAGGTATTCATGTGTTCAGGTGTGAAACCCACACCTCTTTTGGTCTTGTTACATCTAGCATGTGCAACCTACAACTGGGTGAGTTGGATATTACCGTACCTGAATTACTTTTGAGCAGTGGATTTGCCACGTATCTTTAGAGTGCTGTAAGGAGTGACTTCAAGTTGATAAAAAAACTGCATTACACCACCTGTTTAAAGAAAAGGACCCAGACTACTTCTAAAATTTCTTTGTGCCCCTATCTGCTTGTGAAAACCAGACACTATAAAGAGCTCTGCCTCTGAAACATTCTGATGCATCTTTCAGCTAGTTTTAACATAAAAGCTATTGTACTTTACCTTCACAATACATCTATATCAATATATCTATATCACTATCCATTTTTGTAAATCAGAAGTACTTGACTCCAGAAAGTTATCAATGGGCCAGACCATGTTTTTTGGGTTTTTTTTTGATAAGCTTGAAGTTCACATGACATACATTTTGAAGTACTTAATAAGACAATAATGATAGAGATGCTTTTTGGAAACAGTTATGCAATTTATTCCATTTTGTTAAAAGAATAGCTGTTTACTGAATATTATTTTTATTGCTTATGGGATAGAAGGTGGATAGCACATGTTAGTTCTGTGGTTTGAATTCAACATAAAGCACTAATACACTTCATTAAATTTCAGCTTATCCTGTTGGCATTCATATGTTCATGAATGCCACCTAGATGCTATCCAATGCTTATATATTTTGTTTTATTTTAGCATTGGTATATTACTTTTAGTGTGATACACATGTTATTCTGTCTTGTCAACCACATGAGGGTATTCATGACAGCTTGTTGTTAAAATTGATACAAGGTTCTTGTTAGTAAATTAAAGAGCTAAAAAAATGTGTTTGCACAATGTGAAATTGAAAATTAGAGCTGAATAATGAAGTTTAAGAATTTGCTAAAATAAACAGAGGATATTTAATAGTTTCCCATTTAATATCATATATATTCACGAGTATTACAGATTATCTATGAAAAATTTTCTCATGTGCAAAGCAGGAGTGGAAGATATGGGTATATTCTGTCATATGAATGAAATATTATGATATTTAGCAGAAAACCATTCCATTTACTTTGTAATACATTTTAAAGGAAAACAAATGAAGAAAGCTGATTTAAACATAAAATTAAGCATTTCATGTTCAAAACAGTTTGGGAAATATGAGCATGTTCTTTGACATCAGTTAGTTTGACGTTACACTTGACAACAAGATGACGCAGTCTTTTATAGCCTGTTTTAGGCTGAATTCTACCTTTTTATGCTATTATCTGGTTAGAATCACTTACAAAATAATTTTTGTAAACAATATTAGTATTTTTATGCAAAAGGAACAGGACTTTCAATGCAGTGACTAGAAAGCACCACTGTTGTAGGTCAAAACTGTGAACGTAACACCATCACAGTAAAAGATTTCTTAAAAGTCACTGCAGTGATGATACCAGTTTATATCAAATTGATAAATTACTATATTTCAGTGGCAAAAATGAAATAAATTATGGCAGCAGTAATTACTGACTGCAAGGTTTCAGTACCTAATCTGGAATATATCATTTTAAAAAATACCATACAAACAGATGCATATATTATTATTCCTGTTTCCATTAAAAGGGGCAATGCAACAGACATCCAGTCGAGATGCTAGGGGGCGCTCCTTATCAGTTCCGATGTCAATGATAAGTGGCCCTGGTCCTGTTGCCGAACCTCCTTCCTCTGGTGACAGCCAGGCTGTTATCAGGACCAAGCTACAGTTGGTGGATCTTGCTGGCAGTGAATGTGTTGGTAAGAAGACAATGTTTTTGCTGTGGAAAAAATCCCTTAAGTATTGTTTGATTTATTTTCAGTGAGAATCATGTACAGAATATTCAGAATGCATGTGTAAATACAGACGGTGCAACTTTGGTTCTGTTTCACCTCTTTATCCAAAAGTTTACACCCTAATTATGGGAAAATGCATCTCAAAGTTATATTCATTTTTGATCGGTTTTAAGAACCAGCGTACAATTTTTGTGATAAAACTTTACTACTGGATTAGAAGATGATATTAAAATCATTATTTTTCATTTTATTCATCATATACTGTACAGTATATGATGAATAAAATGAAAAATAATGATGTATACATTGTCTAGCTTCAGTAATATGATATAAACTTACATTGTTATGAACCAAAAAAGTTAACAAGAAGAGCGTCACCTCCCGATGCCAGGTAGGCCAATAGTATATTCTACTTTTGTTTGCCTTTGGTTGCCTGTCGATGCTTTTCCTTTTTACTTTTACTTTAAGAGACCTCTATACACCACTAGGTATCATCCGTAAGCCTAGAAGATAAACTCAACTCGCATACGAATTTAGCAGGATGTTGGTTCATCAGAAATTTCTCCAACTTGTGCTTCTCTGATTGTTTATACTGTAATGAATTTGTTGGTCTTCTCTGCTATCTGCAGGGATGAGTGGTGTGACAGGAGCTGCTCTTAGGGAAGCCTCTCACATCAATAAGAGTTTGTCTGCCCTAGCTGATGTCCTTGGAGCTTTGTCAGAGCACAGAGCTCATGTTCCATACAGAAATAGTCGCCTTACTCATCTCCTACAGGACTCAATAGGTAGGTCACCTGTCCTACAAAAATCTGAAGCTTAGCCACAACTCTTACAAAACTCCCAAGTTTTGGCACAACTTCTACAAAAACTCCTAAGTTTAGCCACAACTCCTACAAAAGTCCTTAGTTTTGCCACAACTCATTTTACACCTCCTACAGGGCTCTATAGGTAAGTAAAATCTCCTACAGGACTTACTTGGTAAGCCACACCTCCTACAGGGCTCTATAGGTAAGTAAAATCTCCTACAGGGCTTACTTGGTAAGCCACACCTCCTACAGGGCTCTATAGGTAAGTAAAATCTCCTACAGGACTTACTTGGTAAGCCACACCTCCTACAGGGCTCTATAGGTAAGTAAAATCTCCTACAGGACTTACTTGGTAAACCACACCTCCTACAGGGCTCTGTAGGTAAGTAAAATCTCCTACAGGACTTACTTGGTAAGCTACACCTCCTACAGGGCTTACTTGGTAAGCCACACCTCCTACAGGGCTCTATAGGTAAGTAAAATCTCCTACAGGGCTTACTTGGTAAGCCACACCTCCTACAGGGCTCTATAGGTAAGTAAAATCTCCTACAGGACTTACTTGGTAAGCCACACCTCCTACAGGGCTCTATAGGTAAGTAAAATCTCATACAGGGATCTGTAAGTGAGCAAAACCTCCTGCAGGTAATTCACAGTATTAGTCATGGCTGTCACCTGTCCATTCTTTATACTGTTGCAGTCCAGAGTGGTAGGGGCTTTCATGCAATGTACTTCTGTTAAATTTATTCATGTACATAGCATTTACAATGTATATGCATTACAAAAAGCTAAAGGTAATTTTTTACATATTATGTTTGTTTGCCTTGTTCAGGTGGGGATGCCAAGTTATTGGTGCTGCTGTGTGTTTCGCCCTCCCAGCGATACATCACAGAGTCTCTTCAGTGTATGGGATTTGGTACACGTGCCAGACAGGTTGCACGAGGACCTACTAAACGCCGACTGCCTTCCTCCGCTGAGAAAGTCAGTGCTGAAAATGCACAACGACCAAGAACAGGAAAAACTTAGCTTGTTTCCTATCATATTTGAAAGTTTTTTGAACACTTTCACACTATCCTTGGGATGTTGTTTAAGCTAAGAGGAAAAGATCTCAGGATTTTATTCAAATTGTTGGTGAAAGCTGTTGTTTACAAGTTTTTAGAAAAGCCATTCACTTTAGAAAAAGACAGAATGCAGTCAGACAGCTTTTCTGACTTCAAAGATAATGTTAAGATAACTGCCATGCTGTTCGAGATTTAATTTTTGTTTTTGTTATTTGTGAGGAGTTATGATATTAATTTTGTGAAATTTAATTTCCAGATGAAAACAAAAATGTTTGGATTAATTTCACAATAGTCTTCAATGAAATACAAATGTGATTCACTTGAAATCTAATATTGATGATGGTACTAGATAATTGGTATTCTCTCAGACACTTTAGAAAACAGAATAATTTGGATGTTCTTGACAAAAAAACATGTTCTCTTTGTTTAATTATCTATTGTGTTCTTGCTCTTTCTACCAAAGCAGAAGTGTTCAGAGTCTATTTCCTAAATGAACCGTCCAAAATCATATTGACTGTGATATTCTTTTTGTTTCATGATTTTATATTCAATATATTTATTTATGAATCTGTGAATTAAATAGGTGAATGCTTTAAATGTATGGTTTGTGTTTTTTTTAATTCACTTTTTCTAAACTACCAACAAGTTTCATCACTATATACATGTATACCTTATTGCAAGAATGAGATCATTATTAAGTCTTATCAGTTATCTGAAAAATTACTTCGTCAATTCAAACTGAAATTTATGTGTTATAAGTGTTGAGAGATTTGCTTAAATGTGTACTTCTTTCATGTGTTTTGTGAAACCTACAATTGTTGAGAGTATCTCGTACATAATAATGAGATAAGCACAACAAATATATGCATTCATCTTTCACTGAGATATCATTTACACTCTACAAATCAATCAGCCAGGTTAAACTCACTGGTGTTTGCTTTACTTTTCAAACTTTGAAGATGTTGTCATTTGCTATCTATTGAATCAAAATAACCCGAATTAGATTCAGAGGAAAAGTTAAGAATAAGTCTTAAACAGAAGAGCTCAAAGTGGATTAAAAATAGGACCAAAACGGAACTGATTCAAGTCAACATACCTGGGCTAAAAATACCAAACTGCGCAAAGTGGATATATAAAGTCTAAAATGCAAGAACTATAAAGTTAATTTCCAAGGTCTGAAACGGAACATGTCAAAGTGGGACTACACAAGGTCTGAAACGGAACATGTCAAAGTGGGACTACACAAGGTCTGAAACGGAACATGTCAAAGTGGGACTACACAAGGTCTGAAACGGAACATGTCAAAGTGGGACTACACAAGGTCTGAAACGGACTACACAAGGTCTGAAACGGAACATGTCAAAGTGGGACTACACAAGGTCTGAAACGGAACATGTCAAAGTGGGACCACACAAGGTCTGAAACGGAACATGTCAAAGTGGGACCACACAAGGTCTGAAACGGAACACGTCAAAGTGGGACCACACAAGGTCTGAAACGGAACACGTCAAAGTGGGACCACACAAGGTCTGAAACGGAACACGTCAAAGTGGGACCACACAAGGTCTGAAACGGAACACGTCAAAGTGGGACCACACAAGGTCTGAAACGGAACACGTCAAAGTGGGACCACACAAGGTCTGAAACGGAACACGTCAAAGTGGGACCACACAAGGTCTGAAACGGAACACGTCAAAGTGGGACCACACAAGGTCTGAAACGGAACACGTCAAAGTGGGACCACACAAGGTCTGAAACGGAACACGTCAAAGTGGGACTACACAAGGTCTGAAACGGAACACGTCAAAGTGGGACTACACAAGGTCTGAAACGGAACACGTCAAAGTGGGACTACACAAGGTCTGAAACGGAACACGTCAAAGTGGGACTACACAAGGTCTGAAACGGAACACGTCAAAGTGGGACTACACAAGGTCTGAAACGGAACAGCTCAAAGTGGGACTACACAAGGTCTGAAACGGAACATCTCAAAGTGGGACTACACAAGGTCTGAAACGGAACATCTCAAAGTGGGACTACACAAGGTCTGAAGCGGAACATACCAAATGGGACTACACAAGGTCTGAAATGGAACATTTCTGAAAGAACAACTCAAGATGGAGACACAAAGGTCTCAAAAAGAGAAAAATACTCAAATTGAAAACACAAGGACTTCGTCATCAACAACTTTTAAGTTGAAACATCAGGTCTAAAACGTAACAATTCAAAGTTTGATAAGATAAAACAATGTCAACCGTCAAAACAAGTCAGGTCTATTCTGACAATGCATAAATATGTGTATTTCCGGCACCTGTCACCTATTAATCTTGCTCATGATATCCCGCGGAATATCCCAGTAAAAAGAGCAATTAGTAAGATGTGCGTCATTATTTAGTAAGGACATCTGACCGTCAAATAATCCATCACCATAGTAAAGACAATATATTCTCCATTGAACTAGACTAGATCAGAACTGATATTTGGTATTGAAAACACAACCCCAATAAACATAATGATAATTTTATTAAGAATGTTCGACCAAGTAACAGTTACTCTATATCGTGTCCTAACCCGCCTGAGTATAGGATTTGGGTTAGGTCCAGTCATCGTGAGTACCTTTCGAAGTCCTTCTCGGTAGTCAGCATGATCGTGTAGACGGTAATATATAGTACACACCTCAAATTACTGGAGAGGCCGTTATTTTTATTGTTAAAATTTTCGTGGTTCATAAAATTTTAAGCAAAAAGAATGTCATTTTCGCAGGAATCATTCATTTTCGTGGTTAATAAAATTTTAAGCAAAAAGAATGTCATTTTCGCAGGAATAACCTTAAATCAAGTTATAGTATTACTAAAGAAGTGAACATAAGGTGGATTTACGCCTTTCGTTGGTATCTCTACAAAATGTGCTTTGTATGTCCTCCAGTACCTGTTGATAAACAAACAGATATTATATAAAAACAGGATTTAGATATTACAATATGCCATGCTCTTTCGTTGATATCTCTACAAATTGTACTCTGTATAGTCTCCAGTACCTGTAGATAAACAAGTAGGTTTTTTTTTTAAATATAAAACAAGATTTGAATATTACAATATGCCACACTGTAAGGTATGGATATTGCTGAAATTTAATATTGAGCATGCTTTATTCATATTTTGCCTGATTAACATATACGGCAGGGTCCATATGGTGGTATTGGTGAGGATGTTAACATATGTATGCAATAGCTAGCCGACAAAGAGTCGGTGTAAAGGGAAATATATTACTCACCTCGTCAAACTTCGGAAATGCTTTAGTCTTCAGTTTGGAAAACATTTCTTGGCCGTTGACATAAATTTCAAAGGAGTCTGAAAAATAATAGTGTGAAAATGAAATAAAGTGAAACATGAAAGAAAAATGATAATATGTAGTTAATTAAGCATTGCCAGGTGAATATGATGGCCCTTGTTTCAAGATTTTAAAAGCCAAAAAGAAAACACATTTCATTGCAATTATGCCATAACTTTTATTAGTTCAATAAGTACCTCAATGTTTAATACATATAGTCGTCATAATTATGTTATTAGGAACCATTATCACAGTTCTTTTTGCGATATGAATACTGACGTGTTTGATGTTCGTTAGTTCGCCCGGTGGTTCTGTTGTTGTTGACCTTGTCATTTGGGAACGTGGCATTATTTACTTGGATTGACCAAGGTCTACATTGTGGGTGTCGTCGATGAAGCAGAATTAACTTACTCTTCCGCAACACGTGGTTTTTTTCTTTTTGTCGAGACCCCCCATCATTCATTTGTCCATATCATGTCCTAATTTCATCGAATTTGATTTTAAATTCTATTGACCTTTTAGGATAACGTTTGTTGATTTTTTGACAACCCTCTTTATTTTCGTTGACAATTAGTTACTAACTCTAAATATGTATATTTCTGTCTTGGCTTCGCCTTGCACATAAATCTGACTTGTCCTATATACCTTGTGACGACGACTATGTTATGGGACGAGTTATTTTAACTACGCGGCAGATTTCCCTGTTTCATGTAAAAAGTGCACGAACTGTGTCACGATTCTTATAGACACCCTGTAAACCTGAACTGTGGAGAGGAGGCGTGGTTATTCGGAGTGGGATCAAATAATAGATTAATAGGTCTGTGATTTAATAACACTAAATAAATAATACGTGATTACCGCGCTGATGAACACAACATCGATTACCTTTCCCCTAGGTATTTATTTCTTAGATCATCTCAACTCAATCAAGTCAGGTTGCGGTATTAACAGCATTTTAGATATATTGACATTGCCATAGTCGTGATTGGAAAAAGCCGATTAATGTCATGGTGAAATACAGTGGGGTTGGGACCTCATTTATCGAAATCACACAGTAAACTAGAAGGCGATATAGCACTAAATGGCTCTGTATAGGATTTAGTTATCTACAATGATTGACTAAACCTGATGGGTCCCTATAAACAGATAGATTAGCGACAATCACTAGATAACGAGTTCTATACTTCATATTGGACTATAATAATAGAAGTACACGTGTTTTGCGCGTGACTGAGGTAACATTGTTCTGATAATTTGAGATGAACATCAGCCTGGGTACAAAGATAATGCTAAGAAGCCGTCTGTATATATCCATGAATCTCAATGTTTATACATGTAATTTCATATAGGTTAAATTCATTTACCTTTAACTGAATAGGTACCTGTGACGTCACAATCGGGAAATTTATCCAGGGCTGCTAATTTAAATGTGATGAATTCCTGTCCATGCTGCGGTCAGACATATCTGAGAAAGAGTAACAATAAGTAAATAAAGGTAAGCGTTTCTAAATCCCAAGACGCCATAAAATAGAGGCGCGTAAAAGTTAGGGACGCCATAGCGAAAAGGCACGGAAAAGTCAGAGACGACATGGCGAAAAGGCACGGAAACGTCAGAGACGCCATGAAAAATAGGCGCGGAAAAGCCCAAGAAACTAAAGAAAGCCCAAAACACCACACCAAAATGGTGCGTGAAAGCGCAAGACACCACAATATACAGGTGAGGAAAAGACACCACAAAACTAGGAGCGTGCAGGCTCGAAACACCACGTCATAAAGGTGCGGATAAGCCCAATATATCGCAACATATCCAAGATACCACAAAATAGGCTGAGACACTACAACAAATGAGTGCAGCAAAGCTGGAGACACCACGACATAGAGGTGCTGAAAAGCCCCAAAACAACACAACAAATAGTTGCGGGAAAGCTCGAGACATCACGACATAAAAAAAATCATTTGGGAAAGCGTCCGCGACACCACAGCCAATATGTTATAAAAACACGAAAAATCACAGTTACTATGTGCATAAAAGCCAAACCACATCGAATATGTACACAAAAGTCTGAGACAAAATAACGGACACAAATTTAGAGGCCAAAAAAAAAACCCGTGACACCAAAGCTAAAAAAATAGTTGTGGAAAAGCTCAAAGCAATAACAGATAAGTATGGAAAAACCGAATACACCACAGCAAATAGTCGAGGGAATGTCCGAGTTAAAAAAAAAACCCAAGTGACA